ACGAACGAAAAGTAACTACGTACGTACCCCCCCGACCCCCCCCCCCCCCCCGAACGCCCTCTCGTCCTACTCTTGGACACTGCAAAGCTGACTCTGAGCACAAAACAAAGACCTAATTTCTACCATTACCGACCCCGAGCACCCCGTCTCGCTCGGCCAGCTTTCCGTCATCAACCTCGCCGACATTCGTCTAACACCGCCACCGCGTGCGCAGCCGCACGGCGGCGCCGACGCCCTCGTCGACGTCTTTGTCGAAATCACACCCACAATCACGCACTGCTCGCTCGCGACGATTCTCGGGCTCGCGGTCCGGGTGCGCCTCGAGCAGGCGCTGCCGCCCAACTACCGCGTCGACGTCCGCTGCAAGGAGAGCACGCACGTCCAGGACGACCAGGTCAACAAGCAGCTCGCGGACAAGGAGCGCGTGGCGGCCGCGCTCGAAAACGACTCTCTCAGGAGCGTGCTGGACAAGATGCTCGAGACGTGCTACTGAAAGAAATCGGGGCTGCGTGGTTTGGGAGACAGTTGCTGCATTTTCCCTATTGACGGCAGAGGCGATGCCCGCGGCCAAATGCTGCGCCGTCTCTGGTGGGGAGGCTGAAGAGATGTAGAGGATAAGGATAATTGGCCTGCGCGCTTCAGAAATCTGCATGGACGAGCAGAGGCAGCCGCGCACTGCGCCTGAGAGCCAAGCTGTATACTTTGTATACTGAACAATGGCCTCATCGATCTTTGGCAGCTACATAACTGCCCTTCAATACAGCGAGTGTTGATATGCCGCTGGTATTGTAGAATCAACTCATGCGGCTCAAGAGTCGAGATGGACAGGCCAACAGGTCTGGGGATTCACCTCGAGCACTGTCAGGGAGGAATCAAAATGCCTGTGGTTTCACTTTTACCTCTATTTGGTAGCTATCAAGAAATAATTCAACTCCCAAGACCGTACGCCGAGGCCTAAACTAAATATCTTGCACAAATTGCACAATTCCCTTCTTCTCCCTGTCCAAAAGGAAAAAAAAATTCATACAATCCTTCCACACGAATGCACGCCCACCTGTCTTACAGCTCGCCCAGCATGCCGCTCTCCATGAGGCTCTGGTAGAATTCAGGCTCGAGAAATGTCTTGACGCTGACGTCCTCGCTGAGGCCCTTGCGGCGCCGCGTCTTGAGGACAAAGTCGCGGGCGGTGGCCTGCACGCTCGCGGGCTGCAGCGGGTGGACGACCTGCTCGCGGTCGAGCGGGTCGCCGGGGACGACGCTCCAGCTGTCAAAGACGAGGGAGACCATGGCGCTGCCCTGGGTGCGTATGCGCAGGTCCGTCTCGAAGCCAAATGAGTCGATGACGGGCAGCAGGCCGTTGACGCGGTAGAGCGGGGTGCCGGCGACGGGCCCGTCGGAGAGGACGTGCCCGCGGCGGCGCGCGAGCACATTGTACACCTCCATGTACGAGTCCTCGGGCCCCGTCACCGACACGGCGTACACGGGCTCCATCAGCCGCGGCGACGCCATCAGAAACGACGAGTAGCACGCGCGGCGCGACGTCGGGATGATCTGCCCGCCGCCGCGGAAAATGGCCTCGCCGGCGAGCGTTATGTCAGTCAGCTTGAACTTGGTGTTGCGGATCGGCTCCTCGCAGAGGGGACCCTCGCGTGTCGCCCAGCTAAAGCCCTGGCGGATCGACTCGCGCACTGTGCTGAGCAGCTTCTTGTCCACCTCTGTCGGTAGCGTGTCGTCTTGCAGGATGTTCGGGCCGGCATCTTCAGGGCCAAACGCCCAGATGCTGCGCGCAGCCAGCTTGTCCCACCCGTGCTTCTCCTCAAAGAACTTGGCCGTCTTCCTGATGGCGTCCCGGATCTTGACGGCCCCCGTCTCAATGTCGGTCGAAATGCCCTTTTCTAGTTGCTCAGCAACCATGGTGATCTTGTTCTTCTTGTTCGGTGTGATGGCATAGCACTTGGTGGCGGAAGTTTCCACGACAGTTTCGCAGAATCTCGTTACGGGATCCGACACCTTGATATCCATGTCTGCGTAAAGACGGCGCAAATCGTGCAGCACACAGTCCATGTATAGTTCGCCAGTTCCAATGATAATGTGCTCGCCAGACTCCTCAACCTTAGTGTCAAGAAGAGGATATGACTTTTGAACCTTTCGTAAACCATCAAGCATCTTGGGTAGCTCCGAAGGGTTGATGGGCTCAACAGCAACCTTGAGAACTGATTCTGTAAAGTGGCTGACGGGTTTGAAGATGTAAGCATCCTCGCCGTCCTCTAGCGCGGGTGGAACAATCGTGGCCGTCTTGACTATTGAGTTGTCGACTCCGTCGAGTAGCACGAGGTTGCCAGCTGGCACACCATCGGTGGGAATATTATATCTCGTCTCGCCAATAAATACCTGGTTGATTGTTGTCATTGCCATATCTTCCTCGTCGTCCAGGGAGTATCCTTCTCCAAGCACTCGAACCTGCGTGCCAGGGCGCGCAGTTCCGCTCAAGACTCGTCCAAAGGAGTAGAAGCTCTTGGCGTCAGGTTTGTTGAAAAGCTTCGTAATGTGAATAACAAGAGGCCCATCTTGGTTACAGTCCAGCATAGACTTGGCAACCTTGCTATCCAGGGGCCCCGTGTAGTGACGCTCCAGCAATCGTTGCGCCGACTCGACTGGCGAAGGTATGTGTTGCACAAGCATATCGACGAAGCCGGTAGAGGGCCCAAAAAACTGCTCGCACACAAGCTTCAGAATGACCTTAGCATCTGCCTTGTATTGCGCGGGTTTCAGCTGAATTCCTAGAGACTCCAGGACTGGGCGTAAGTCCTCTGGGCTGTCGCTGATAGAATGTGTAAAGATTTTGTAGATGGGCTCCAGCACAAAGTGAACAAATGATCTCGCGGTTCTATCCTCGAGTGGTTTGCGTGAAAATGTTCGTTTCTTGGGGTTGAAGTAGACGTCTCCCCATAGACGCTTCGCCAGGTCCTCGGCGTTGACGTCGCCGTAGCTGGTCGCGTACATTTTGGCAAATGACTGTAGTGTAAAACACCACCCCATATCAGTGCAGGCAAAGAGCACATTTCCCTTTTCGGGACTGAGGCGCTTCGCTGCAGAGGTAGCGGGAGCGGTGTTTGTGATTATGGTGTTGACTTCTTCAACAACGTGTTTTAGCTTAAAGTATGCGTCCTTGGGCGGCAGTCTCAGCTCCACAATCAGACGATCCATTTTGTTGATGATCAATGTCAGCGGCAAATCCTGTAGCACAGCATGCTTGATAATTTGCTCCGTGTTTACCTGGACACCTTCGACCACGTCGACTACCAAACAAACACCGTCCACCAGTCGGAAAGCGGCAGCGACCTCGTCGACAAAGTTGACATGGCCAGGCGTGTCAATCACATTGACCAAATGCGACTTGCCCTTGGAGTTCGGCAGCACAAAGCTCATCGGTGATGACTTGAGTGAGACGCCGCGTTCGCGCTCGAGGATGTGAATGTCTGTGTAGCGGAGGGCCTCGTCGCGCTTTCGACCGACTCGCTTGTCCAGCTTCTGGAGGATGTCGTGCGTCTCCAGAACAAGCATATCTGTAAAGGCCGTCTTCCCGTGGTGCAGGTGGCCAGCGAGTGCGACGTTTCGTATTTGGTCGGGAAAGTTCATCAGGTCCGCCATGAACTCGCGGCTGTAGTACACGGGCGGGAGGTCCTCCTCTTCAATGGTGAACTTTTTCGTCTCAATCGGTGCGATGATGGGCTGTGTAAGAGGCTGCGCATCCTCCTCCTCGACGCGGGTTTCGACATCTTGGCCATAGACCTGTTCGGCGGTGGGGTAGTACTGCTTGTCTTCGTGGAGAATGACTGCGTTTGAGGGGCCATCTGCACGCGTTCACGTCGATTGTCAGCTTGGCAATGGTTGGGCCCAAGGCGCAGCGCAAGGCGCAACTCACCATCCACCTCCATGAGCTCGTCCTCATCCTGAATGTCGCCGGCAGCATCATCATATACATAATCGGCGGCGTCCAGGCCCGCGTCAGAGCCGGCCTCCGACTCAACTTCCTCGCCTATGAAGTTACCGAACCTAGTCACAACGCGGTCAGCGCAGGGACACTACTTGTGGAATGGAATAGAATGCTCACTCATCGTAAAGATCATCCATCTTGCCTTGGAATATGTACAACTGCAGGGGTCAATGGCAGCTGTAAAAATGGAGAGGCGCTTTTACTGCCGTCGGCGCGGCGCGCAAAGGTAACTTTTTCGAGCTCTGGTACCAGTCGCGAAGCGTCACGTGGAGATTAAGGAGTCTTATCAGCAACCATGAGATGAAAGCTCCTCCTCCACTCCACTGAACAGCCGCTAAGTCCGCTATAATTTCCTTGCTAAAGGCGCTGTTTGCGCCCAAAAGGTCCCCTCTTCAGGGCTGTACTTGCCTTACTAAGACTGGCGCGCCAGCGCCACCCTGAGACCTGGAGATCGGCAACCTACGATTACGAGTCGTGAAGAAACTCACAACAGCCGATGACTGCATAAGGCGGAGGCCAAAGCCCGTAAAAACTGCGCCAAGCCGTAGTATCTTATCAATCTTCAATATACCGAGCCCTGAAATTTATGTACATTTTCTAAAAATAAATAGCTCATTCTCGTCCCGGCATCACATATACCACGGCCACCTCAGCCGGCAGAGGGGTACGAGACTCCGAATACGGCCAAAAGTTGACTGCCCCTCCTTTTGATCCAGCAGAAACCCGAGTGATATGGCGGTCGGTACATGGCCTGCTCGGTTTTGTCCCAACATCCAATAGCTTCCCCCTTTCCTATTTTAACCATTGGCTCGCGGCCTTTTTCTTCTTTCCCATTTTCCTCCTTCCTATACATCTTTACACATCGCATAATACCCCGCCAAAATGTCCAACCTTCCTCCCGTCTACATTGTCTCGGTCGCCCGAACCCCCGTTGGTTCCTTCCTTGGGTTCGTAGCTTTCTCCCTACCACTCGACGTCGCTCAACGACATAGCAGCCTTGCCACGAGATGCTAGACAGCTACTGACAGCAAGAATAGCTCCCTCTCCAGCTTGAGTGCCACTCAGCTCGGCTCTGTCGCCATCAAGGGTACGATAATACCCCTCTTCAACAGTATTAACTGTGTCCAGCTAGCTAACCATCGCAGGCGCCGTCGAGCGTGCCGGCATCAAGCCTGAGGAGGTCGAAGAGGTCTACTTTGGCAATGTCCTCTCCGCCGGGTACGACGTCTTTCCATCTACCACTGTGCTCTACTAATAGAGCTTCCTCGAACAGTCTCGGCCAGGGCCCTGCCCGCCAGTGCGCCATTGGCGCTGGTCTGTCCCAGTCGACCATCTGCACCACCGTCAACAAGGTCTGCGCCTCGTCCCTCAAGGCCATCGTCCTCGGCGCCCAGAACATCATGCTCGGCACCTCGTCCGTCGTCGTCGCGGGCGGCACCGAATCCATGTCCAATGCCCCCCACTACCTGCCCAACCTCCGCACCGGCGCCAAGTACGGCGACCAGACTCTCGTCGACGGCGTCCTCAAGGACGGTCTGACCGACGCCTACAAGAAGGAGCACATGGGTCTCGCCGGCGAGCTCTGCGCCTCCGACAACGACCTGTCCCGCGAGGCGCAAGACGAGTACGCCATCAACTCGTACAAGAAGGCCCAGGCTGCTACCGCCGCCGGCCTCTTCAAGGAGATTGTCCCAGTTGAGGTCCCCGGTGGCCGTGGCAAGCCCAACGTGATTGTCGACAAGGACGATGAGGTCAAGAACCTCAACGAGGACAAGCTCAAGGCCATGCGCCCCGCCTTCAAGTCAGACGGCACCATCACCGCCCCCAATGCCGCCCCCATCAACGACGGTGCCGCCGCCGTTGTCCTCATGTCCGAGGCCAAGGTCAAAGAGCTTGGAGTCAAGCCCATTGCCAAGATCCTCGGCTGGGGTGATGCCGAGCGCGAGCCTGAGCGCTTCACCGTCGCTCCGGCCCTCGCCATCCCCAAGGCCATCAAGCACGCCGGCCTCACCGAGAACGACATTGACTTTTACGAGATCAACGAGGCCTTCTCCGTCGTTGCCCTTGCCAACATGAAGCAGCTCAACCTGTCCGCGGACAAGGTCAACGTCTACGGCGGCTCCGTTGCCATCGGCCACCCCCTGGGCTGCTCCGGCGCCCGTGTCCTCACCACCCTCACCTCGGTCCTGAAGGAGAAGAACGCCAAGATTGGCTGCGTCGGCATTTGCAACGGCGGTGGCGGTGCCTCTGCCCTTGTCATCGAGAACCTTCAGTAGATGGGTCCATAAGCGACAACAAAATGTTATGATTGAATGGAGACGTGTCGTGGTACGGGGTAAGGCACTTACATCGCTTCGCGCAGGAAAAGTTATGCATAAACAGGACGTGCCATTGCAGTCTCTGGTAATCTTATATAGACATCTAATGAAGACAATATCGAACCAACAATCTGCACCTTGGTAAAGGTGACATGCAGACGGTCGAAGGCCATGAAAGCGGCGCAAAAAGAGGCGCGGCCGACGTCCGAGTCCCATCTCATATTGTTATAAAGGGGTGGGTTGGATGTCATAAGGCTGGATGCAAAAAACTAATAATTCCAAAGTTCCTGTTTGATTTTCTCTTGCTAATGAAACCCAGAATGAACAACACATACACGACGTTAAAAAGCGAAACACTAGGGAGCTTAATCGAATAGCACCCCTTCCCTTACACAAGAAAAAGTTACAAAGAGAATACAAGCAGAGTTTCGGGGTCAACCTTCGTAACCGTTCTTTGCCCCCATAGGAGAAAAAAAGAAAACAAAACAAAACAAAAACACTACACAACCTGCTAGAGACGATGATCAACGCCCCCACTACTCTTACCCTCCATCCAGCCAAGCACTAATGCATCTCCGCGTCTGCGTCCGCCGACGGGGGCGCGATGCCGTCGTCCATCCACTTGCGAAAGTTCTTGTTCTGCTCCTGGACTTCCTCGGGGCTCATGTCCTTGGTCCAAGCCGGGTTGTGCACCCACTTCTCCAGGAGCTTGCTCTCGCGGTGGGTGCTCAGGGCCGCGGCAAACTTGTCGCGGCGCTCGCGCTGGTCCTTGGTTTTCGGTCCGTTGTCGTAGATGAAGTACTCCGAGGTGCCCGGCGCCCAAATCATCTTGGAGCTCGTCAGACAGATAGAGATTGACAAGCCTTCGTCATAGGAAAGAGGCTTGGGGATGCTCTCCCCGTCAGACTCGGCATCGCCCGATGGCAGGTTCCTAGTAAGCACCACCTTTTGCAGTCGCGAGCGGGCAACACCCTCCGTAGGCTCAACGCGGATAAATGATGAAATGTAGTATTGCCACCTCTCACGGAGTTTTAGCTCGTCCATGTAAAAGGTAGTCTCGTCGCGCTGCAGCCAGCGGACGGTTGCCTCTGCTTTCTGAGGAAACTGTAATATCCGTTAGCGTTTGTAGTTTTTCCTCAAAAAAAAGACCTGACTTACCCAACAAATCACAAAAATATCACCGTCCTTGACACACTTTTCCGCAAACTTCCGGGCACTTATCTCTGTTTGGTAGCTTGTCTCCTCCTTCTCGCGGCTGTTGAGATATTGCTGGATGAGGTCAGGGGTCTTCTCCTTGACGTCGGTGCTGCTGCAAGTGAGAGCAAGTCGGCACAGCGTCTTAAGAAGATCTTGGATAGTGTAGAGTTTCCAGCCGTTGCGCAGATAATAGTGTCTCATGACATCCTGGTAACGATTCTCATCAATGTCACCAGTAATATACTCCTCAATGAGCTCCATGGTTTTGGGCCAGAAAGCAGCAGGGTCTTCGTTGGCATCGAAAAACGCCATATGGTTCTCGGTGAAGCCAATGTCTCTGGCAGGCTTGGGGCGGCTCAGACGCCCAATTTCCTTGGAAACCCTCTCAGGGCTGCCCTTGATATCATGCAGACGCTCGTATACTTGATGAAAGATGCTGAAGAACACAAACGCCGTCTGGTTGCAAAAGAAGTTATACCAAGGTCGGCTAAAGAACCCATCGGCCTTCAGCTCGCCGTCGCCGTCCAACAAACCGCTGTCAGAACCAGTCACTACAGGCTTTGGCATACTCGGCATCCATCGCTCGTTGGAGAGGTCAGGCGCAAGAGCTTCATCAGGCACGTCGGCCATTTCCTCGTCATTCGCCGAGTTGACATCGGGTGTAGTCTCCTTGCTTCCTGACGTGCTATCCTCCTTATGGTTTCGGGGCTTGCTGCCGATGCGGCCCGGATCGAGAACCCCTCTAAGCAGATCGCCCTTCTTTCCGTTCCTGCGGCTGCGGCCATTTGTCAACTCAGCAGGCGTATTATCTTCGATCTCTTCCTCGCCAGAGTCCGGCTGCATCCGCGGTAGACGCTCCTGGACGACATCTTCAGGAAGGTCAAAGAAGGCGGGGATGAACATTTCAAAAAACTCCAAGATTCGCTCCTTTTCTTGCGTACTATGCTGGCCATTGTGCATGCTGTAAAGCATCATCAGCCGAAGGAGATCCATAACGACATCCTTGTCAGAAAAGTCCCAGACGAATTGATAACGAGGAGCTTTGCCTTTGAGTGCCCTCTCGCGGCGCTGCTCCTCGTGCTTGGTTTTGATGACATCAACCAGGTGCTTGGCGGTGAGATTGCGCTTATCGGTTGACTTGACAAGAATGCCCATATGGTCGAGACTCTTGAGATGCATATGCTCGGTCTGTGCGTGCCACACCTTCTCCCACTCTCGCTGTGAGAAGCGCCACTCCTCGTCTTTTTGCTTCATTCTGGCCAGCAATACGGGAACAACATCAAACGGGTGGCTATACATGTCATTGACGACATCAATTCCGCGCTCACCATAAATCTTCTTGCATATACGCTTGAAGATTGAGGTGCTCTGACCGGCAAGAGCGCCAGGCATGTGGAAAGACTCTCGCTCAGACGGCGTCATGACCAGCATCTGCTGAGCAATAGGCTCCAGGAGCTGAATACACTTGAGGTTGGCCTCGATGTAGAAATCATAGTCGTGGCGCTCTTCCTCGATGCGATGGAGGCCTTCTTCAAACTGGTTCTTGCGATGGGCAACGAATCCAGAGTCTTCGCTGGCCCAGGTTGGGTGCGAGGCCCACTGGTCGTTCAGTACGGAATTGCAAAGTTCATCGCGGCCGCTGCAAGGCTTAAGACGCTCTCTTTTCGGCAAAAGTCTGTAGCTGGGGCCATACCCTCGGCAGTTGCTGAGAGAGAGCTTCTCGGTAGGGGGTGCAGGACGGTTGTCGATCATTACATCCTGAGTATCAACGCCCACAAACGATTTCCAGAATGTCGTCAGGTCGGGGCTAGAACTGATGAAGACTAAGCCTTTGTGGAAGAGCGTGTTTCTGTCGATAATGTTCTGACTGAAGAGATTGCAAAGTTTCAAGAACTCGTTCATCGACGAGCGGTTGCTAAGAAATTTCTTAACCTTTTCGAAGAATGCAATCTCCTCCATATTTGATGTACCGGAAGCTCGAGGAGGGTATGGCTCGGGCATGACCGGCGTCAAGGTAGGCTCGATTGACGAGCCTTCTGCAGTGCCACGGGCATGACTCAACTTTGGCCGCTTACCATTGACAACGGCAGCTTGTAGACGAGGCTGCGATGTAACCTCCGCAAGCAAAGGAACTCCTCCAGCAGCTGACTTTTCGTTTCTCGCGCGTTTCTTATCTTTACTGGCGCTGGCCGGAGGAGCAAAGCTGCCCAGAGGGGGCATTTTTTGCCCGTCTCTGGCACCAGCCTGCTGCCCGGCGCTGGCTCCCATGGAATCTTCAGATCGGCCGCTGGCCGTCTTTGCTTGCCCTGCAGTCTCTGGGAGGAATTGCTTGAAATCCTCCAGCAAGTCGGGGGCAGCATTGAAGAGCGTGGTGACCTGCGCGTATACGTCCTGAATAGGCTTCTGCTCCCGCTGGTACGTTTGCAGAATCTCTAGGAACTGCTTATATATTTCCGGCTTGTCTTGGAATCGATTTTTGATCTTGTTGACGTAGCTGATGGCGTGGTTAAATTCAACAGGGCCACGTCGCTCCATACCGGCTTGGGCCGCCGCGGCGGCAGCAGCACCATTGACGCCAGCCAGGCCAGGCGTGCTACGCCCAGCTGCGACATTAGCGCCGACGGATCCAGGTGCTTGGGAACCGGCGCGATGTCCCGTGGCCTCATATCCGCCGCTCTGGGCGGCTGCTTGCACAAAGAGGCTACCGCCATTCTGGGCGGGGGCGCTGAAGTTGGCTTCCGGTGAGCGCTGAGCCCACTGACCGCCACGCTCAGGGAAGATGGACTGGCTAGGCCCGTGGCCATCGGGAGGGCCACCTCGTCCAGCGATGCTTTGGACCGTCGTACCCATTGGCGTGGTGACTCGAATGGTATTAGGATCGTTACCAGCGCCGCACTCGATTCTATATCCCGGGGGTAAAAATGTGTTGAAGCCTTGGATAAGGTTTGGATGGCCAGCGAAAAGTTCGGACACTCGATTGATAACGCCTGGGGTATCAATACTGTGATATAGTATTAGCTCTGTCACCACGGATAACAAACAAGCTGCACTCACGCCTGAGATTTGAAGTCCTTCATGATGTCAAGAAAACGGTTGTAAACGTCAGGCTGGTCATGGAATTGGACCTTAACCTGGTCCAAGTAGGTCAGAGCATCCTATAGCGTTGTGTCAGCGTTGCACATTCACAGTAAACAATACGGCACAGTTTTCAGCTATGCTCGGCCACAGCGGCCGGGCTGCACAAGCGTCGCGCCAAGCGCAACAAGCACCCTTTTCAATTTCGAATGGTCTTACGTTCAGAATCGGTTGCTGGCCCTGGGTTATGCCACCTGGCATCTGAGGGCCACCCGCCGGTACATTAATCATAGGTGCGCCCTGCTGGCCTGGTCGCGGAGCGTCTTGCGGGGGTAGTGGCGGCTGCTGCTGCTGCAGAGGGCCACCAAATACGGAGCCGCTGCCGGGAGGAGGTGGCGGGCCACCCTGTGTGGGTTGGCCGTGAGGCATAGGTCCGTATCCGGGATGCGGACCGCTCACGCTCTGCGCGCCGTGCTGGAGCGGCCGCGCGTGGTCATTCGGCGGCGGCGGGCCGCCGTAATTTTGCATCGGGCCTGGGGCTCCGCCCATGGACATGGCAGACGTGCTGCCGTTATGGTTGGCCAGCAGGCCGCCCGGGCTGTGTATCGCGCCGGTGACGCGCGACGCCACGGGCTGGTGTATGGGTATCGATCCGGCACTGCTCTGGTGTGCGGATTGGAATCGGTCGGCGGCTTCACGGTCCCGCTCGCGCTCTCTCTCACGCTCCTGGTCGCGTCTCGCCATCTCCTCGTGGTGTTGGATAGCACGGTGCCGTTCGTCCATGTCGCGATCGCGGTCGTATGGCGCGCCGCCAGATGGGCCGTGGTGGCTCTGGTTGCTGTTCATCGTTGGGTCTGCAGTGGCCGAGAAAAGAGACACGAGAAGAAAAAATTAGCCACGTCGCTCCTTGCTCAACCAGCTTTATACATCCGACAATGCGATTCGCTGCTCCGTGCCCGGGCAGCCTGCGTTGGATGCGGACCGAATCCCGTCTACTGACGTTTTTCGACCAGCCGACAACACCAAAGCTCAGGAGGGTCTTGTCGCGCGATCGCAGCGGCGAGAGGGCACACTTACAGCTCGAGGGGCACAACTAGGCCAGCAAAAATCTACATGGATAGCAGGACCCTCGTGCAGAAGAACGAATTCCCGGGGTAAAAAGATGCTGAAAGAAAGCTGGGTGGGCGTGGAGGGGGTGAACAAAACGCCAACCCTGGTGCAGAACCTGGGAAGCTCGCCAGATGAAGAGCGGCCAGGACCAGATCTGTCGGGGCCCATTACACAAGCCTAGCGCGGACTGTTCCGCATCACGTGATGATAAGATTTTCTTATCAGTCCCTTGCGGAAAGTGCGGTGATTCGGTCCTGCGCTAAGCCTAAACTGGCCACACAATGTCCAATCTCTCATCACCGGGCGGTTGGAACTCGGCAGGTACGAGCGAGTGAATCAGCAGTGAGAAAATGCGACAGCATATGGGACAGTAGATGAGAAAAGCTACCATAAACCTATTTTCCCCTTCCTTGGTGGGGTCTCCCGTAACGCCCGTTAAGAATACATGTAATTATTATCTCAGTCCCTGTGTCTACCACCCTCGGCCTCACTTATCTTGTTCCGTCCCAAGCTTCTCCATGTCAGGCGCTACCAGACTCTACCGTACGGACGGCCTTCTATGACGGCGGCGGGGGCTGCGGCTTTCGAATGATCTTGATCTTGGGTCGCGATGTTGTGCTCGATGGTGTCTCCGGCGCAGGGCTTCTGCCACCACCCAGGATGGCGGACGGCGTAGAAGCCGCCCTCATAGCCGCCGGCGTGGACGACATGCTGAGGCTAATTTTGGGCTTTGACGCAGGCGTGTGATGCGACGAGGACACAGCATCGCCCGTTGGCAGTGGTCGTCGAACAACATCGCCAGAAGGCAACGGCTTGCGAATTTTCAAAGGAGTATTCTCAGTGGACGATTCGCGCCGCGAACTTCCTGGTGCGGAGCTCCCCGGCAAGGCTGTTCTGAGCGGTGCCGGGCTCGAGGACAGAGACTTGCCCAGGATAACAGCCAGTCGTTTGGGGTTTGCCGTCTTGAGGGTAACCATACGCCGCTTCTTCCATTGGGTCTTGGCCTCCGAGGGAGTGTCCGTCTTGGGACGCTTCGGTGCGGGCGACGCATGCTCTTCCTTCTCCGGCCGCGGCCGCTTCGCTACCTGGATGGTGGCAGATGCTGGGGACCCATTGGCTTGAGCTTGGCTGTGGGCAACAATAGAATCTAGCAAAATTGGCGGCTTGGGTGATTGTCGCGGGATACTAGAGAAAGTCGGCTTGGTGCTGATCTTGATAGACGGTGTTCTCCCAATGGTGGGTAGCTTCTTGATGTCGCTCCCGCTCGATATTGATACTGGAGCAGCGGGTGCTGCTGCCACCATGGCTGGGAGTGGGACCTTTGGCTTGATCTTGTAGTAAGACTTGAAGGTGACCAGCATGCGGTTAGAGGGCCTCTCTGGAGCTGGAGGCCGCGCTGCCTTCCATCGCTTAGGCAGATTGAGGGTCAAGAGCCAGCTCTGCGCCTCCTCGAACATCATGGAAGCAAGATCCAGGAGACTTTCTACTTCCGTGCGGCCGAGGTCCGGGTGATCCAGCGCTCTGCGCATGGCCGTGCTGTAATGCCGCTCATCAGCCATATATGTCTCTTCCATTTCTTTCTTCAACGCCTTCAGAGCAGAACCCAAATTCTCCTTGCGAGCAAACATTTCTTTTCTTGCTTCAATTTCTTGGGCGCTATCCTGGACAAGCAGCAGGCCGTCGCCGTCGTCAGCAGAAGGTTCAATCTTAGCAACCTTCGTGTGCTCTCCGAATGCAATGGCAGCAAGTCCTCGAGCAACAGCGGCAATCAGCTTTGAGCGCACGTACGGAGACCGATCCGTCATGAACGAATACATCATAAAGCTGAAGAATGTCGGATCCATCATAGCGCCCAGGTCAATCAAGGCCTCAAAGCATTTGATGCGAATCAAATCTCGGGTTCCGTCTAATAGGTACTGTCCAAAGTCCGTGAAGTTTTTGGGAATCACGTCTGCCTTCATCAAGCGCTGTTTCGCGTCTAATCCGGCCAGCGTCCATGTATTTTGGTACGAATTAGTCCATTCATCACGGCGCAGGACTCGCTCAATTTGTTCGAGAGCGTCTTCTAAGAAGGCAGTCTCCTCTTCGTTTGGAATCCTGTTTTGGCGCGTGAGCCAGTCGTCCTGTTTGGACGGGATGAGCGAAATGGAAAGCGACTTGACGAGGAAAGCAATGTAGAAATGGTCCGAGTACGGATTGCCCTCGTTGTTATTCAAGCGAAGCTGGTCGAGGATGAAGCGACGTGCTTCCATCGGGCACTTGTTGGTGTGATCACGAACTTCAGCGATGGCTTTGATGATCGCGCAACGAACATTGTATTGCTTCTTGTCGGTAAAGTCATTTGGGCGAGGCTGGTTGGTTTGTTCGTAGCAATACATCTCTCGGAAGGCCCGCATGAGCTGGCGCATTCCTAGTAATGGAATATCTTTGATATTAGACTGCCGAGTCAGAGCAGCTGCCGCCATTGTGCGAATTCCATGGAAATATCGTCGGTCAATGAGGGTTCGCACCAGGAAGCCGGAGGCGATTGGATGTAACGGGCCCTGCGCAAGGTAAAGCATGGCGTCTTGCTGTGCAACAACATCTCTGTCTTGTTGTAGCTGCGACACGTACATATATGGCTCCAAGGTCCGCGACATGTCGGATGCCCATTCAAAATCAGCGTCAAGACGGATCCATTCGTATGATTCTTGGTCCATTTTTCGCTCCGTCTCGGGGTCCCAGTCGATCAACTCCCACTCGCGCTGATCCTCTGGGCTTTGCAAGACATCTCCGAGACAATAGAGCAAAGCATCGTCATTGTTGTCTGTGATTTCTATGTTTTGACCTGTGTGTTTCTCCTTCATTCGCCGTGTTCGCTTGAGTCGCTTATATTTCGTGTTATAGGGAATCTCAAACTTGGTGGCTCTTGTGGCATCTTCGCGGATCTCAAGAATATGCTCGTATGGCGTTCCGTCAGCCTCGTGAATTCGTACAGTCATTGGCCCCGTAAATAATGGTTGAGTTTCCCCAAGAGGCACTTCAGCTCGTCGCTCCCTGATCTCGCGCAGAAAGTCGTCTTTTTCGAGTTGAGGCTTCTTTGCCTTTTGAAATTGTACTTGATTCAATGTCAATTCGACGCATAGCCTTTTTTTGTTAAATCGGGCTTTGACATCAAACTTTGGACAACCGGAGCCGTAGACCCATTGATTCCAAAAGGTCTCTAGGCGGTATCGGGACCCCTTTTCGCATATAGTTTTGAACTTTTCGGTATCCAGAATCATAGACTTGTCGCTTCCTTCAATCTGCGCGCGTGTCAAAAGCTTCTGCAGTACTCTGGTCAACCCATGACCGCCCGATGCCTTGTTCATGCGCTTGTCCAGGATGAAAAATACAAGGGGTGCCTTGAGTGTCATGAGCTTCATTTCTGCGTCGTCAAGATGCAAATTGGCGCCGAGGTCAAAGATAGCAGGGCGACCAACATCAAGCTCAGCCAGTTTGTCGGACATGGTCTTCATGCGAAACCGGTATTCGTTGTTTCCACAGATGCGCTTCATGAACAAATCGGTCATGTAGTGAGCCATGCCCACTACAAGCCACATATCGTTGCGTGTATTGGGTATCATATTGATGCCAATCCATTGTGATGTCAACGTGAGAACAAGCTGCCGCGTCACCTCGATTTCAGTGTCGATGACGTCTTCTGGGTACAGCAAGCGGTTGCTTGCAAATCCTAGTGAGTGTAATGATACCGTATCGTCGACCAAGTCGTCAACAAAGCAAAGTTTGAAGTTGGAAAACGGGTAGCGGGCGAAGGTATATGTGAGAAAATCCGCGGCCATGGTGAGTGCGGCCGAGGTATGTCTCACCCAGTCCCCTCTTCCAGGCAAGCAATATGTGTGGATTTTCAGTGCACTCATACCAAGCTTGAGTTCATCTTCCTCGGTTCGAAATTCCGAAGACAAGTCAATATGTTCGAATGGGCCGACTGCAAATCCTAGTTTCTGAACCGAGACTTTCTTCTCGGGCTCAAACGTCATGATCTTCTTGGACTCATCGTCTGCGTCCGTGGTTTCTTCAACGAGAAAGCCTGAGCATACAACAGACATCTCTCGAAGTTTGTCCTCTTCTGCAAGCTTGAACGAGCGATCAAGAAAGCCAGAGTCCTGCTTAGTCGCCAAAGCTTGTTGTAAGGCGTCTCCGAGAGTCCGAGGGTGCTTAATCGAGACACGCCAATCACAACGTGAGCCGTGGTCATCGATGCACGGAAAGATGCAGCTCGCGGTGCCCGGCTGAATCGAGTGACGGGTATACATGTGCGTAAAGCGGCTGTCCAGAGAGTCCACGCCCACAAAATGCAACCCATCCCGAGGATTCCGATTGACAAACGGGACAGTAATTTTGTATTGCTTGTGCGCCCTTTCGAGGGGCTCGAGATTCATGGTAGACTTCCTGACGATCAACCTCGGGCGATCTCGTTCGTCTCTGCCACGCAGCTTTACTTTCAATGACCCGTATGCCGGCGTACACCCCTCAAATTCTCTATTTTCGGCGGGAACGTCGGACTTTCGAGTGTGAAAAACTCCTCGAGCGCGAATGCGGCGCAAATCGTAGTGCTCGGCTCTCCAGTTCCACCCCTGGGGATGTGAGAGCTTCTTGTACGGGTCGTTGTATTCCGCAGCGGCTCTGCGCTTGTGACCCTCGATTGCTTCGCCGTTAACTTCACGCATCTCGGCAATGGTGATTCGGTTCGTGTCGATTTCGCATTGCGCTGCGTCGAGGAACACTTCTTCCACCTTGTCCGTAAAGGTGACGACAAACACGTCGGTAGTTCCATGGATGCATTTGTCGCGAAAGTCAACCTCGAGGCTGACTTCCTGCTTGAGGACGAAATACTCTTTCACGGGGAGGTCGTCGACGGGCGGCAGGTCGCCGTAGCCGTTCTGCGTGAACGGGCGCTCGGATTCCATCTCTATCTTCGAGGGTGTGCAAAAGGACGTGGGTAACCGCTCGAAAGTCGCACGTGGTTGATTTAGCTTCTCTTATGTATGGAGTAGCTTGTGCGACGGAGGAGTTGGGCGGGCGCCCCCGTGATGCGAGTGGTGGCTGTGGCTTCTTCGTCTGGGAGTTGGCGCATGCAGTGAGTTTAGACAAGCATCGCAAGTCGTGATTCGGGTGAGCGCGCAGCTCAGCTGTGCGTAGAGTGAATTCGGCTGGTTCCTTCTCCGCAAATTTCACGCGGCGCAGGGAACTAGCTTCCTCCACGTTGTTGCACGGCCTGTCGCGATGTCGAGTGTTGGTGGTGATGAAGCAGTCAAGTCACCAGCGCGTTTCCATCAGGAAGCTAGACGCACGGGCCAACTGCGGCTCTACCTCCGCATATTTATTCCCCAATTCCCGCCATCATCAGAACTAATTTTTGCTTGCTTCATTTTATTTGTCATGGCTTTTTTACTCTTTTCTTTTCTTTTTCTCCTTGTGTCCTCGAGACTTCTCTAGAACCATGTGTTTTTTTTGGGTTCGTCAATTCTTTATGCGCATCTGAACGCAAGGCAAGCACGAGGAGTAGTGAGTGGCCTTAATGACAACTCGGAGAATGAGTAATTACAAAAATTAGTATTTTACACTTCTCGTGATGCGGCTTCAGCATATCTAGCTATGACTGCGCGCACAGCAGAGATTAAGTATTCCGATACGCCACAATGAACCTCTTTACATCCTCCCGAAACCACATGTACAAAACCAAACGCCTTCTTGAAGGAATCGCCCAATATGTTGCTGATCAACGACGCCGCGCAAGTGAAAATCTTGACAGAGAATGTAAATACGACGGGAAGCAAATCACGGCTTTGCTCGCTTGTCTCGTCTTCGTTTCCTGGCTCTAGCCTTGAGAAGCTCGTCATCGCGATAATCCTCTGGTAAATCGAAGTCCATCTCTGAAATGTCCGGTATCGGATGCCCCCAGGCCAAGACATTTCTGCCAGCTCGCCGATGTTTATTGAGCGCTCCATCGCGTTCATATTTCTTACTAAAAAAAGACTTGAACTCTTTTGGCGTCTCGGATTGCCTCGGGGTTGTGGCCGCCGAAACGGATCGGGGACGCTTCGACGCCGTTAATTTTGAGCGAGCCATGGCTTCTTGGCGCAACTGCTTTGCCGGCGACGATGACGAAGCTTCGCTACTATTGTCTTGTGAGTTCATCAAAGTGTCTTCGTCTTCTTCATCAATACAGCCTCCCTCTTCACTTCTACTTTGGTGGGTCGGGGTACTGTCATCGACATCAGCCATCTCCTCATCCTCAGCGTCGTCGTCTTCGGCCTCTTTGAGTTCTTCCTGTGCTTGCTCGGCTAGCGTTCGCTCTTTTTCCAGTTTTCGGCGCTTCTCTTCCAAGCTCCAGTTCTTGAACTTGTGGAGAATGCCTTGGCAGCCTCTTATGAAATGAGCCCGCGCCGGCTCAAACATCTTTTTCTTGGTCTCAGTAATTCCACTGACACCCATGACTCTGAGCCAGTCATGGCCTTGTAGACCCTCTAGCAGTCGAATTATTTGATCTTTTTCGTGTTGTGCGCGTCCTTTTTCGGTGTTTCGTATTGATCTCTCGACCCTCTCGGCTCGTCGGTGTATTGGCTCAAAGGTGCTGTCCGGTAGAGGATCCTCTAGTGCTCTGTTTTTGTACTGTGCTTCCAAAAAGCCGAAATCTATTTTCTGCGCATCGCATACATCGGTGTAAAGTGCATCGCCATATCCTCGGACAGGGAACATTTCTGGTTGTGGTTGTGCTGACCCAACTTGAGGGGCGCATCGCGGGCCAGAGTCGACGATTATGATGGGAGTGTCGAGGTTCAACAAATCTACAACAACAATTATCAGAAGAGTTCGCTCTGGCATTGATTGAAACAAGATTCGAACCACCACATACGTTGTTCCTTGGGCTCGTTGCCAATAACTTCGTCATAGTCTGGAAAGTAGGCGGAGAGGTCGCTCTTGAATCGAGTCGCTTCCTGGGACCGAAGCTTGCGGCCAGGCTCGCGACCAGGTTCCTTTGTACCAGGCATGTCGGGCTGGAGCCTATCCAGCTCGTGCTTGATGCCATTGATAACTTTTGCCTTGTGTTTCGTGACGTTGGGATCTGCTTCAGGGAGCGGCCGACCGGGCCTGTTGCTCAGCGCAACAGTAGGGGCAGCGGCTACCGCTACAGGACGAGGCTGTTGTGGTGGTGGCGTTGGGAGGGGGGGCTGCACCTTCTGCGGTGACACAGCGGCGGGCCGGGCTCGAATTTCGACAGCGATCCTCGTCTTCTTGGTGTTAGCCGTGGCAAAGTCGTGTTTTTCGGTGGCCTCGATGCCTCGTTTGGTGCGACGTGCCTGCGGCTGTTGCTGCGGCGGCGGGTGGTGGAAGAGGGCCGGCGTCGCGCGTGTCATGGGGGCAGCGTGCCCGTTGATGTTGATGTGAGGAGGTGGGAAGCCTTCAGGTCGTCTGGTCGAGCGAGTGACGGAAGCCATTGACAATATGGCAGCGGCCTGGCATTGTCTTTGGCGAGAGTCGTATTGTCGCCTGCGCGAAGGACAGATGATGCTTTTCGCGCAGTCGAGTTTGGTCGTTTTTCGTCGAGCGATGACTCTGCGTAAAATCGTGAAGTGAGCGGGCGGATCCGCCAAACAAGTTGAGTTGGCGCGCCTACAGAGGACGCCCAGCGGCCTGTGTTGACCGCTGGGAGAGTGGTTTTACTGATCGCTTACAGTGGCTCGTGCCCCAAACCGTAGTGAGTCTACAGGGTCCGTGCCTGCCTGCGAGGGAGACTTCCACGTCGCATCCTCTGGTGCGACGAAACATTGCACACTTACGTTTTCGCTACCCTAGACACTGATTAATTTGGGTGTGCAAGCTGCACCGTGTTTTCTGGCAATACAGCTGTGTACATTTATGTTCTTCTTGTTGATGCCGAGGTATATTTCGGTTTGACTTTTGAGGGTCTCCATCTACTTGTCTGGTTGAGGTTTCGCGGACAGGCATCTAAGAGACACAGGACAAGATAAATCAAGTAAACGTAAGTGGTATTCAACCTCACTAGACAAAAAAACAAAAGTTACTCCCCTGCCTTGATGCTAAGCTTCCGCATGGCTTCTTGCGCCGCCCCAGTACCCTTCGTCTCTCCCTTCTTTCGCATTAGTCCGTCCACAAATTTCTTGCTCTTCTTCGTCGTCTTGATGTACGTTTCCAACCCAACGAGAACGGCATACGACTTGGAAATCGTCAAGTGGCCTGTATCGACACCCTCCGCCTTTAAACTTTTCAAAAATGACCGAAAGTTCGAGGACGGTGGCCGATAGTGTCCGCTCAGAGGCGACAGTGACTGCAGGCGCCCATTCTTGATCTTGACGAGCCCAGCGGCGGAAATGCGGCTGCCCTGCAGAAAGGATGAATGCTGAAAGGCACCAGAGTCTTTGAGGCCGACGTAGAGTCGAAAGTTAGTGTCGGCGACAAATATCCAGCAATTCTTGCGGACAGATTTGCGCAGCAGCTTGTTGATGATGGTCGCCGTCGACAGGTGGTGAATCTTTTTGACGCCCAAGGCATTGTCAAACTCTGGGGTTGCGTATTTGGTGGCACGATCAGCCTCGCGTCTGGACTCGCAGGAAGAATCCGAATCCGAATCTGAGTTGTCTGCCAAGGGATTGGCAGCCGGCTTAAATGCGGGTGTAGTGTCGTCAACTGGGACAATGCCATGGATGCTGTCCTTGAATTGCTCCGTTGTGTCGATCATAGCACCGTTCTTGGCCCAACATAGCCTTCCATCTTTATCGACCTTGACCAGATAGTACTGTCTCTCCTCTCGCGACAAATATCGTACCCGTTCTCGCTCTAGCTGCTCGCGGGGGCAGGCATCGAGCTCAATATCGCGACCAGCTCCATCGTCGAGCCAGAAGAGGAAATTTTCCTGAGCGTCGGACCGTTTCCACTCCTCGTGGTATACAAGCAAATTGGCTCCGTAGCGGTGCTTCACATCAATCATTTCCAAGAAATACTGCAGTCCCATGGTGCGCGCTTCCGCCCGGCGCTTCGCATTTTCAGCGTGGCGCTTTTGTCTTTTGGCAGCCTTGTCTTCGACACTGGTCGCATCCGTGCTTTCCGAATCCCAGTCTGATTCGCTGTCCGAAGCGTCACGACCGGCTCGAAAGGCCACCGTAGCGGCCTTTTTCCAATTCTGTCGAGCGCCGGCCGATGGAGGTCGCATTGCTCCAGTGACAGATGCGGTTGGTGAGAGCGGACGTGGTCGTGGACGGTGTGTTTCACGAAACTGAGCGTCGCGGACGGCGGCGACCCAACGCGCACCGGGATTGATGCTGTAACCGTCCATTTCTCTGCGTGCACGGTAGCCTCGGAACGTTTTTTGAATCATCCTGGCTGCTGCATCCTGGCTGTTCTCGTCCATCGGTCCTGTCGGAAACGTCTTTTGCTCCTTGATATTCTTGCGACTTTCCTTTTCCTTGGCTGACTGTATCTGCGCAATTTCTTGGAACCGGTCATTCGAGGGAGGCACGAGCGAAGCCATGTATGCGTTGTGTATCGAGTCCGTTGCTGTTGGAGAACATGTAGCTTCAAAGGCAGCCATTTTGCTCTTATATAGCCCGCCGCCGGCGGGGCCGTGGCTCTGGCAGTGACAGGGGAGAGGGAGCTCGTGGTCCTTCAGACCCTATCAAATGCAAGCCCAGAGAAGGGGCCTAGTCGCCAACTTGGAGTATCACTAGTTTCTTTGACGTCCCTGGGCGGCAGTGTGGTGGCTGACCCTCAGGCTTCAGCTGAACGTTGAACTGAAGTTGGAGTGCAAGCCTCCTAGTTCGGACTGTGGGAGACGGAGAGCAAACTGCCGAGAGATCTGATTTTATAGCGCAAGGCGGCTTGCGGCCAAGTATTCAGGGACAGGGCTGACGTGTGTATATATATCCGGCCCTGCTGAGATCCAAGGCCACTCCGAGGTCTGCGTTATCAGATGTAAGAGCCATGTCATCATCGTCGGATTGAGCGGGCAGGCGCATGCGCATGAGGTGTGCCTGGCAGCGACTCAGCCACTGGACGCGACCCTCTTCTAGTTACGTGGGCGCCTCTCTTGGGAGAGTGTACTGTGTAATACTGTGTGCTGAGGCTGATGGCTCTCCAAACGATTACAGCCTCCGCTGAAAGCCAGGTAGGTAGGTACTTTATACAAGGTTGCAAGGCAGTTGGGGAAATTTGGCGCCCAACTGGGCAAGGCGAAACGCTGGGTTGTGGTGGCACTGTGGCAGGACAAGTAATTTGTACAACAAGGCTATAATACTCACCAACCCCAGCCACAGTATTCGTGGTTGCTCTTGCCGCTCTCTTCCTCTTTCGCAAAACATCATGTAATAAAATTGGTATGCAAAAATTTGTCAGACGCTATCAAGTATGGACAGTCAAAGTTAAGAGAAAACAGCAGCAGCGCTAATTTGGTGCCGTGGCAACGTTGCTACGAGAACAAAAAGTCCTTCAAGACTGGCGAACCCGAAAACTCGGGATTCAAAATGATACAGCTAGTCGAGCCGTTAGCGTGCCGCCCTGTGCAAAAGAAAACTCGATACAAGACGCCCTTACTTGAGAAAATATTGCAAACCTGCCCGTCGTTTTTCTAGAAATTTCGGCCGGAATTTGGATATTACGCTCTTGGGCGGCAGGCTGGGCACCGCGGCGTCAAAGTTGGGAAACGACTGCATCAGCCTGTGACGCAAGGCGTCGAACTCGGAGTACCGCTTCCGAATGTTCATGTAGCTCCCCTACCATGATTGATTAGCATCATGAGTCCACTCAGCCCCGGGGCTGGGGCTGTAGGCTGAGAGGGGTGCGCACCTGAAGAGTCTCTACCCGCACGTTCCACACAACAAAGGCGCCGATGCTCGTCGCGCCGCCATTCACAACTGTGTGGTCGATGATTTCCACGCTCTTCGCCCAGCACGCGTTGTTCCGAGCCTCCTCGTCGTCGGCCTCGTTGTCGAGCAGCAAGATGGCTCCCGTCGGCCGCCCAGAGTCTGATGAATGGGTCGACGCCGCGCGCTGCCGCGAGGGCATATTTTGCCAGTATGGTGGCATGGTGATGGACGGCGTGGAGTGTAGTGTCGAGTCAATGGCGCCTGCCGCCTCGTTTTCGTCGCCGTCTATACCGCCTTCTGGTGGTCCTCCAAGCTGCGGCGCGGCGGCGTCGCCGCCACCATCAGGCATGCCCAGTGTCGCGGCCTCGCCCAGCGTTGGGCCACCGGCAATTCCTTTCCCGTTCTCCCCAGCATGACCGTGACTCAGATTCACTTCCATCCAGGCAGATATGCGCAGCGTGCGGCACAGTAAAAATCACACGGCGCTGCCAGTCGCGCAGGTAGCGAGCAAGTAATATGGCGGTTCAAGGGGGCGAGTCGTCGCAGGTTAACTGGGAGAGGAGGGGTCGTATCGGCGGTCGGTCAGATGATGAGAAAATGTTCGCAAGCAGCACCGGAGATTGTCGAAGCTGTGCCAGTACCGCGATTCAGAGATGCAGCGACTAGATAATAAGCAATATGTCATGTCACGCCAAGGTGAATAAAAAATATTGCAGTTGCGAATCCAAAGCCGGCGCTAACTCCCCAGACTTTTGAGTGTGGGGCCGGCGCCGAGCTGCCTTCCGTAGTGCATAATGGTGCGTCCGATCTCACACACGGATGATGGAATGTCCTGGAGATTGACATGTGTAGATGTTGGGAGATATCATGCCATCTTTGGGCCTGCTTGCGTCGAGAAGATGAGGGGAAGGCCTTAGGTGATGGCTTTCCTTAGCTCAGTGTTGAAAAGCTGTCTCCTTTCTGGCACAGCTTGATACCAGTTCTTCTTACCACGTCATTATAGGAGCCAAGGGAGGTGCGGAGTGATCAAGACTGTTGAATCCGGTAAATAAAACAACGGTTCGTGCAAAGGACTGCTAGAATGGCTTCGCAGCCGGTCACGGCACTTGGCTCTGAGGTCTACTACCAGTATAAGTATTCGGTGTCTGTAGTTAGTGACTGGGAGGCTGGAACATGCAGAGATGTTGTAAAACATGTCTGATGACACCCAGTGGCGGAGGCTATGTAACTAGCTACAGGACATACTGTAGTTAATAATACAGTGTACAGATGAATAGTACGGGGATGGCGTAAGCATGGACCGGCCTCATTTTTATGCGACAAGGTGTCGCTTTCCCGATATCTTCAGGGCCGTATGCTTTTACTATGAGGCCAGCATATTGAAAAGGGAGCCTCGATTTTTAGCGCGCCATGGAATTCGTATTCTGCATCGGATCGACAATGACGCTACGGATACTAGATGATGGATGACAGCCTCGAGCGTATTTCTGCAGGAAAAAAGCCACAGTGGCGACATCTGCAGTGACACTCGCCTACAGGGTAATATGTAATATGCAGTAGATGGGTGTTTTGCACGCTGCCTGCACGATGTCAAGATGTCGACAGTAGCATGACCATCTGCTTCGTATTGCGGCAATGGCCACAAGGGACGTCGTATTTCTGCGCCGCCTCTTCGCCGGAAAGCTCTGTGCTATCTTCTCTTTGACCTTGTGACCTCTTCTTTTTTTCCTTTCTCTTCCCGTTCGTGTTATGATGCGAGTTGCGCATCACGACGAGGCCTGCCCCGTTTTCGCGCCGCGCCGCAACGGTCAGGCTTGTGAGAGCATGGAGACCCCTGCTCATGGCGCAAGCCATGTCATCTGGCCCTGGATACCTTGGTGTGTTCCTTGTTTCCCCTTTGAACTAGTTTTTTTTTGTTCCCATTGCCGTCTGTGTGCATCCGACGAAGAAGTTTTTTCCAAGGTCGGTTGCTCGTCACGGTGCCGGTAGTTGCATTGTGAAAATGTACCAGAAAAAGGGAAAATATACTAGATTTCAAGACGAGGAAGCGAATCATGGCATGTTTTGTTCCAGTAAGATGAGCTCTCATCTAGTGGCGCCCAAGGGCAAGCGACGCCGTGGCCGTGCGGGTACATATCTTGCTTGCCACTCCAACCCAGAGGCTAGTTTTATTCATCTTCAAAATGATAGTAACAAGTTCGATTTTCATTCACAAGTGCGGCTTTGCTGTGAATGCGTGATAGGTCACACAGCAGTTAACTACCTACGCGCGTAAGGCCCATTTTTTGATAGGGGCTATAAGATATTTTAGTCCTTAGGCATATCGCTAGGTGTATACGTATATATAGGGGTCCTAGACACATAGTATAAGAAAATTATAATACCTCCTAATAGGCTAATATAAGCTAATATAGGTTAGTATCCTAATATAGATAGGGAATTCTAATAAATATTAGTTACTACTATATATAGTAAATACTATAGTACTATTAAAAAATATATTTTTAAATACTTAATTAATATTAAACCTTTTAATATATTATATAAATAAATAGTAATACTTTATAATAGACTAGTATTTATAATATAAATTAGGATTTTAATATAAATTAGTAGCTTTAAATAGATATTTATTATTACTATATATAGTAAGTATAGTAATACTATTATATAATATATTTTTAAAACCTAAGTAATATTAAGGCTTAGAATATCTTAAGTAAATTATAATACCTTATAAGAGATATAGTATACTAGTTATAAATAATTTCTAAGTTAGATCTATTGCCTATATAAAGAAATCTTATTATAAAGTATACTAAAATAAATCTCTTACTTAGTAAGGTTTAAGCTAGTAGCTTTAAGGTATTTAAGATATACCTATATTCTTTAGATATTATACTTAACTAGATAAAGATAATAATAGCTAATATTAAAAGCTAGAATAGATAGGTAATTCTAGTAGATATTTATTACTACTATACCTATAGAATTCTATAGTAATATAAGATAATATATATTACCTTATATATTAAAAAAGATAGCTTATTTATATAGCCTTTAATATAATTAACTACCTAGATTAGTAATAATAGGGGTTATTTTTTTATTTTTTTATTAGTAGGTCTAAGTTTAACTCCTACTTATAATTATTTTTTTTTACTTATCCTTAGGTATTATAAGAGCCTCTTTACTTTATACTTTATATAGTAGCTTTTTCTAATAATATTCTAAAAGTATTATTATAAATATAATACTAATAAAACTCTATAAGAGAATATTATATTAGCTTTAGTATTATTAAGGCTACCTTAGGCTATTACTCTTTTCTAACTTAGCTACCTTTTTAAAGAAGCTAGTTAACTTACTAGAACTCTAGGCTCTATATAATTATACCCTTATCCTAGGGCTTTAAGCTAGTCCTACTAGAACTTTAGGCTCCTCCCCCTTAAGGGTTATATCCCTAGTATAGGCCCCTAGGGTGCTACCTATACTTAAGATAGGCCTTATTAACTAGCGCTATAATAGGATAGGTTATACTAGAGTAGCTAGTAAGTTAAAGCCCTTATATAGCTATTAAAGTAGGTTATTAAGTTAAGGGTTATATTCCTAGTATAGGCCCTTAAGGTACTACCTATACTTAAGATAGGCCTTATTAACTAACACTATAATAGGATAGGTTATACTAAAGTAGCTAATAAGCTAGAACTAATAGTATTAAGGTATTATTAATATTATAGGGGCTAATACTATAATAAGATAGGTTATACTAGAGTAGCTAGTAAGCTAGAACTAGTAGTGTCTAGGTATTATTAAAGCTATAGGGGAGATAAGGGAGCTAGTAATAAGGAAAGGAATTAATTAGTATATTATTAGAAAAAGGGAGAAAAGCTAGGGAGCTTAATAACCTACTTTAGTAGCTATATAAGGGCTCTAATGCTTTTAACTTTAACTATACTAAGTAGTATATTATTAAAGAAAAGGTTAACCTTACCTTTATCTACCTTAACTCTATATTAAATCTTATTTACTTAAATATTATTTCCCTTATACTAACCTCCCCTATTATAATAAGCTCTAATAAGATAGAAGTTCCTTTAAGAGCTAGTTATCCTACTAGAACTCTAGGCTCTATATAATTATACCCTTATCCTAAGGGCTTTAGTAAGGGTATAGATTAACTTTATATTTACTATTTATAATTTTATACTAGTAGATATAGTTATTAAGATATTTACTAAGAAATAAGAATTCCCTAGTTATTAATATATATTATAGTATTAGTATAAATAATATACTACTATTCCTTACCTATATATATAAATCCTATTTAATAACTTTATTTTTATCTTTTCTATACTAAGTTTAATAATAAAGCCTTTAAAATAATATTAAAATTAGTATTAATAAATAGAATAATAGAGTAGTATAATAGTAAAAGTAATATTAAATTAATATTAGTAAATAGAATAATAGAAAGATAGAGTAATATAATAGTAATAATAGTTTAGTATAATAGTAGAAGTAATACTAAAAGTGGTATTAGTAAATAGAATAATAAAGTAGTATAATAGTAGAAGTAATACTAAAACTTATATTAGTAAATAGAATAATAGATTAGTATAATAATAAGGTTTATATCTCTAAATAGGGTATAAAAGTCTTAATATACCTAGTATTCTAGATTATTAACTTAGATTATTACTAAATCTAGACTTTCTAAGATATTAGGCAAATTATACTAGTAAATATAGGATTAATTTTAGTGACTTTAGTATATTATGTTTCTTTACTATTAAGCTACTATTTTTAAGTATTCTAATCTTACTAATCTAGACTATCTAAGATGTTAGAGTAGCGAATTATACTAGCTAATATAGGATTAATCTTAGTAACTTAGTATATTATATTTCTTTACTATTAAGCTACTATTTTTAAGTATTCTAATCTTACTAATCTAGGCTAATTTTCCCCTATCTTCTATGCTACTAAGGGCCTACTATTTATTACTAGGTTGGTATATATAGCTTAAGTCTATCTATAGATAAACATAGTTAATAAAGATAGTAGCTTAAGTCTATCTATAGATAAATATAGTTAATAGAGATAGTAGCTTTAAAATATATAAATCTCTATTATAGTTAGTATTTAAGGTTTTAACTAACTTTAAGATATTAAAGTAGCAAATTATATTAGCAAATATAGGATTAATCTTAGTAACTTAGTATATTACCTTATAAGCTTTAATAATATAAGCTTCTAGTCTCTTCTTAATCTTAGCTTTATAGGCCTATATTACTATACTAAATATAGTAGAGTAATACTACTACTATATTATATACTAAGTAAAGTAATAGAAATAGAGAGAGATAAATATAAAGAGTAGTAAGCTTTATTTAAGGTTAATATATTAAATTATAATATAGAAGCTAAGCTTAG